CTCCACACTGCCGTCCTGCCGTCCTGCCGCCACACTGCCGCCCCCCCTCCACACTGTCCTACTCTGCTCACTCTAATAACCTGTGACTATTAATAATGGGCCCTACGTCCCAGTGGTGCCTTTTACTGACATAGTAGGCAGTAGAAGGAACCACGTTGCATGCCGAAGTGTGTTGGGTGTGGAGATCCTGGGAATGGGAGGAACAGGCGGACAGAAGTGAGAATAAAGTCATGTGACGCGGAGCAGAGAGGAGCGGTGGCGCGCTGCCTTCACGTGCAGTGCGTCGTAATTTTCTCCCCGGCATAACAATATGCAACCGAGCGTGCCGAGGTGAGAAATGTCATCTTCAGCCAATCGGCTCGCGCGTCAGGATGCGACATCAGGCCGCATGTTACGGGCGAGCCGATTGGCTGAAGGTGGCGCCAATCATCTGCCTGCACTCCGCTCTGACACTGCACGCGAAGCTCCGTGTCACGGGCTATAAAACCTCTCTCACATTCTGGAGCTCGGTGACAATCCCTCGAAGAACCATTTACAGAGACACACCACTGAGAAGCATAAACGGAAATCGTCGCGGTGACGGCACAGGCTCCGCCCCAAACAGGACACAGAGCCCAGTCTTTGAAAATACATTTTAATTCATCAGCTATAAATTGAAGCGAGTTAACATTATGTTCGGTATCATGCTGGTGTCACCGGGTTAGTGGAGGGGAAACGGTGAATAAAAAAAAGAGATTAATGGCGACTCCGCGTCTGACCTCGGCACCGACGGACACGCATCAGGTATGCGGCGGCGCACAGGCTCTAGATGCGACGAGCCGCGCGCGGTGCTGCCGGGGGTCAGACGACGGACTGCAAAAGGGGAGGAGCTTATTTCTTGATGACATAACAATTCATTGTGGAGACTGAAAAGTAAAAATTCTCCGTTCTGGCAGAAGGAAGGTTCCGGAAAATAGGCACCAAAAAAAAAAATGGTGGAACGTGCGACAATCTGTAACAGTTACGCAGCAGAACGGTGATCGGCGCACCGGTGCCGCCGTCACATGAGAACGGGACATCGATGCGGCTGCTGGAAAATATAAAATGACAAAACGTGGACCTAAAAAAATCCAGAACTGGCACGCAGGCGGCCATTTTGTACCGCGGGCCAGCTGCGTCGACCATTTCTTGGTTCTCCGGACATGACATTTTGTGACGCCGTCGCGGTGCCAGCACAAAAAAATCGGGAGCCCCTCCCTCTGCCAGGCGGAGCGCATTGCCATGTAACGCTCTGTTTTCTGGATACGGGGCAGCACAGGAGATGGCGGGAGGCGAGATGAGGCCCCGCCCACACAAAAGAAGCGCAGAATTTTCACAGAAAATTCCCTTTTTCTATTTACATATGAAGACCAGAAATCGGAGGACAGAGCGGGAGGTAGGAGGCCGGATAAAGCTCTCAGAGGGAATGCGACAGCGGCTGGATGGGACCGCGCGTCGCAGCCGCCACCCTCCTCGCACGCACAACAAGAGTACGAATGTGAAAAAATTAAAATCCCCCCCGAAACGCACTGCTCGCAAAACCTTGCGTCTGATGCAGAAACAGAAGCGGAATCAGTGGTTTGACATCTCGTTGCCACAAAAAGGACGTCTGAACACTAATGAGGAGGAGGGGGCGGTGTGAACATCCAGTGATGTCACAGGAACGCATGCTACGAATGACACGGAACGATGGGCGACGGAATTTGGATTTGGACGCGCCGTTTCATTGAACGTCTATTCACGTATGGCGGTCATGTGACCAACAATGGCGACTGCTCCTGTAACATTCATCGGATGTGATGGGAATGAATGAACGGCCCTACAGATCCCGCGTCCCTGCACAGCGCGCCAGTAACGCCACGGGCCTCAGCTACCGGACAACGCGCCGCTGTCTATGACATCGAGGGACTCGTGTTGTCACTGGATCCCTACACTCTACAACGCGCCGCCGTCTATGACATCATCGAGGGACTCGTGTTGTCACTGGATCCCTACACTCTACAACGTGCCGGCGTCTATGACATCATCGAGGGTCTCGTGTTGTCACTGGATCCCTACACTCTACAACGTGCCGGCGTCTATGACATCATCGAGGGTCTCGTGTTGTCACTGGATCCCTACACTCTACAACGCGCCGCCGTCTATGACATCATCGAGGGACTGGTGTCGTCACTCTGATTGGCTGCCAACACTCAATCCTAAAAATGGCCGTTGGAGATTTCTACATTGAGTTTACAAAATGGTCGCCCAGCAACGACCGGCCATCGCCCGTAGCAACCTGACTTCCGGATAATACAAAGCGACGTCCCGCACGACGCTGTCACAGGGTGATGGGAGACACCAGAGCAATGACAAGATGGCCGCAGCGACGCCAAGGTCTCCGGCAGAGCGGGAACATCGGTTCAGCTGACAGGACGGCTCCTAAGGGACAGGTGCACTTTAAACTATAAAAACACGAAATAACTTTATACACAACAAGCATGAAGACAATCGGGGGAGGGGACATAAAATACAGGAGGTGTGGCGGGTATTAAATTATTCCATTAGGAATTATATTCATAAAATAAGTGGTGAATAGCCGGATACAGACCGACGGGCGCGAGGGGATCGTGCGAGTTAAGTATCATACGTCGCATCCACTGGAATGGGCAATGGGGGGAGGGGGGGGGGTCCTCCGACCGTACAGGACACGTGCCCCCCCCTGCCAGGTCTTACGACAGCACCTTGTATGACATCACATCCTGAGGGGCGGAGCCTGGCGGACACCTCGGAGGACCCTTTTTTTTCCTGAACAAACCTATAACAAGATGGCGTCGGCCTCTCTCCACGCCCGGCGGCCGCGATGCCAGAGATCCGGGAAGAGGGAATGTAAAATCATGGATGACCCCTTTTCTCTCATATAAAAATAGTAGTCTTTATACGCGGGGCGCCGCCTCCCGGGAAACGCGGCGCCCCTTTCAAAAGTTCAAGATATTGGTTTTTAAATAGCAGCTAAGTGGTGAGCGCGGGACGACTTTTTCATAATGGAGAAAAATATATATATTT